CCCATGTCATGATAAAGGTATTTGCCACTTAATATTCATTTACTTAATCAGACTTACTGTAAGGTTAAGTTTACTTTAGGAAAGAAGTAGAGGTTGGTTTTGTGGTTTACTGCCCCTCTTAGTCTTCTGGGGCTCATGCTCAGACTGTTAAGGAGTGTTGTAGGATGATCAAGACAAGAAATAATTCAATCTACTGGTAAAAAAAGTTACTGGTAATTAAGAAATATACCAGCTCTTCTTCTAGAATAAATGTCTGTTTTAGCTATGGATTTTTCCATCCTAGATTTATCATTATTAATGGTCAATATATAATTTAGGACCCTAATCTAATAGCTTTACTTATTTTATTTAGCAATTTTTGCCCATTTTCCTTCACACAGGTGATTTCAGTTACATAAGCCATGTGTAGGACTCAGTATTTTTATGGGGAAAAATTATTTCCAAGCTTGTATATTGTAAATACACCAAATTTGTTTCCTTGGGCCTCCTTTGGCTTTGCTGTACTGTTTATTTTATTTATTATTTCAGGGAATTCCAGGATTTGCTGGTAATATTGGTTCACCCGGTTACCCTGGCAGGCAGGTGCAGTAACTATATTTAGACTTTTTATGTTCCTATTTATTAATACATTGTATTTCTGATTTTGAGAATTAATGTTCAAATAGTTGCTTTTATTAAATAATGAATAAGTCATAGAGAAATAATTTTAAAATCAAAGTTGTAGAAACCCATTACAATTTTTCTGCAGAAAGTTTTATTTAAAATGGGAATGGGGGTTTTAAATATGTTTGATGTGATATACAATGGAATCTTCAAAATTAAAATGCCCAAGTGTTAGTAAGTTCTTAAAACAGTGCTGATTGTGATTTTACAGTATTGTCACTGAACAAAATGAAGTAATAGTAAGAGTTAAGACTCTCTGTATTAAACATCATTTTTTAATAACATAGTTATAAAAATTTGAGAAACAGTATACCACTGGCAAACACTTTTATCTAACTGAATTCGGTTATTGGTAAACTGTTTTAAAAATTCATTCTAATCATTTTATATGTATTCCCTTATAACTTCTAACTTTCTCTACTTCATGTAGATTAATAAGAGAACAAGCTATCTTTCCTAAGTTTTCGTGAATTGATTACTTCTAAAATTTAACTAAATGTATAAAGTTACATTTATATCTTTTATATTCTCAAGAATGAGGGAAATAAATAAGCCAAAATATTTACAAAATTCCATTTTTTAGGACTTTAAAAACACTTAGAGGTATTCTGTATTACACTCTTACTCTCAAGTGAGAATATATGTTATATAAAAATATAAAACATGAATATGTAAACATATGGATGTTGATCTAAAGTTTAAAATATATTTATCTTTTTTAAAATTTATGGTAATATCTTTTAGAATAAGTTAATTAGAAATATTTTAAAACAACACAGATAATCTTCCAATGAGAAATAATGTAATGAAAAAATTTTTTAAAATCTGACAATGCGTTAAGGTACTTTATTTATATATCTAAAATATATTTGTGTATAGATTATTTCCGATGGCTCTTTTGGTTCAGAAATTCTAAAATTCCTCAAACATTTGTAATCTTCATTAGTTATACAGAGTTCGGAATTCTATAGTTTTGAAAATGATACCTCTTTATATGCCCTTTTTATTAATCTATTTATTAACTCTTTAAAAAGTACTATAGTATGATGACGATGTCTTTTGTTTACACCAGGGTTTAGCTGGACCAGAAGGTCATCCAGGTCCTAAAGGTGCAC